CCTGGAATTTCTAAACATTAAAAATTACCACCTAGTTTCATTAATGTTCTCCAAACTGTGGATCAGGATCCATTAGTTGTTCATTGAAACAATTTAATGGGTCCCAAAGAGCAGTTTTAGAGATGATATAGTCTATAACAGAAAAGAAAACTGAGTACATATATTTAATAAATCATGTTCAATGAGATTTGTTAATCTTTAAAAATATACACGTGGGCCGGGGATTTAGCTCAGTGGTGCCACCACAAGCCTTGGGAGCACAAGGTCCCGAGTTCAATCCCCAGTGCCCCCCCAAAAAAGTATATGTATCACATTACATATAGTCACAATGTAAAATATATTTCTGTAGGTTTTCAAGTATGTCTAAACTTAAAGTTACTGTAAAATGACACAATATCAAAATATTATATTATAATCAGTTATAATTAAGGCAATTTTTAAATTAAAAAACTAAATTTCCTCAGTAAACAAATACTACTATAAGTCTAATTAAATTAATATTCTAATTATCTAGGTCTGACCATTATCCAATAATTAGATATGATTTGAGTGTGCCTAAAGAGTTCAAGTATTGAAAGCTTGGTCCCCAGGGTAATGTTAAGCAGTGATGGGACTTTAAGAGGTGAGACCTAGTAGAAGGTCATTAGGTCATTGGCACTAAGCCTTCAGAACGGATTTAGTTTTAGGAAAAGTGAGCTGTAAAAGAGCCCTCCCCAATGCTCTGGCTTGTCTGACTCTCGCCATGAATACCCACCATGATGCCATCTGCCATGCAGTGTTCACTAGAGCCAAGCTAATGCTGGCATCATGCCCTTGAAACTCAATAATTGTGAACTAAATATACCTCTCTTTTTTATAAAAGTACCCAACCTAAGGTATTTCATTACACTAAGAGAAAGCAAAATAATGGACTTATATCTGACTATTTCACAGTTCCTCAAAATGTCTTTTGTCCCTTCAGTTTTCAATTTCTCATGTGAATTTACACATCCATTGGTAATAGCTTTTATCACAGACCATATGTTTCAACAGTTGGAAGAAATACGCAATTTAAAAATGCCCAGCTTCTTAAGCATTTATATTATATGCATACGCAGAGAACACATTACCCTCATCTCCTGCTGCCTTAAAAATTACAAGAATCAAAAATCAACCAGAGGTCATGCAAAATTTTTATTACTGAAATATTCATACCAATCTATATGAGAAAATCTCAGTACCTATAACAACAATTAATGATATAAAATTTAAACTGCAAGCCATCAAGGAAAATCATATTCCATTTTGGGGATTACTCTCATTCAATAAATATTTATTATTTACCATGTCCCAGACATACATCTAGAAACACAGCAATGAACCTGCCTCCCAAAAAGTCTCATCAGGCCTCTTCATAAGCTACCTACCTACTTCCATGACAAACAACTTCTGAGGTGTACTTCATATTAATTAAAAATTATATGTTATTCTGGTCCGTAAGAAAGTTAAAAACACATGATTCACAGCTGTTATGTTTTACAGTCACTGCAAACAAAAACTAATCAAACACGGAACCACTGCTTCCAGGAAAAAAAAACAAGTTTAGGTTCCTGCTAACTTCTATGGTCACAAGATTTTGATCAATCAATATATATCATTGTTTTAGATAAGTCTGTGTTTAAAAACACCTTACAGTATTATAACTTATGCCTGATCTGAGAGCTCTTAACACACGTTGGTTTTGTTTTGGTTTGGTTTGGTTTTTCGGTGCCGGGGATCGAACTCAGATCCTTCCGCTTGCGCAGCAGGCGGCGAAACCGCTGAGCCAAATCTGCGGCCCAACACATGTATTTTTTCTGTAAGACACACTACAATTTTCTTGTGCTAATACTCTGGTTTCTCTTAGATCGTATAAAACTTTTGCCTTTTACTACAGTCTTCTTGAGCTTAGGAAAACTAGGCAGCACATCAGCATAAGCTTGGGAGCCATTTTAGACAAAAAAAAAAAATCACCAAAAAAACAAAAAAAAAGCATTAAATGCACCATAAAAAGTAAAACAAAAAGCAGAGAATCACCTTATTCAATCTCAGCTAGAACACAGAGTGTTCCCACACAAGAATGACTCAAAATTTTTGCCACTCTGCATATGGTTATGTCTGTGATTGAGTAGGACAGCATAAAGAGTACTGATTTTGAAGTTGCAAATAAATTGTAGCAAGCAGATAAACGTGCAAACATGTGATCTACAAATAATAAGAATCAACTTTTTAAAATTACTGTTTTAAATTTTCTTTGCAGTCTGTATTTGAACATTTTGGGGGGGCATCATCAGAGTTTAAGCTTGTAATGAAGGAATTTTTTTAAATAAAGGTTTGAAATTAAAAAAAAAAAAAAGGGAGAACTTTCTCTTTAAAAGTAGTCCCTGTAATAATTCAACAAGAAAAGGCATAATTAAATATCACCATTATACAACTCCTAATAAATTAATGGAACTAGGCAAGGATCATCTGTGACTACTAACAACAGAGGAGAAAATCTTTGATCTATCCAATGAAAGAAAAAAAACTGAAATGGAATCTAATCTCTACATCTCACTGCCAAATTTGAGGAAAGATAAGGAACAATGTTTTTACTCCTTAATTTAACATGAAATAGTAGAGCTTTTGAATCTGATATCAAAGGCAGGGATTACATTTTATTCAACTCTATCGCTCCAGTAATTATTATAATATATAGGACACAACACCGACTAAAGGTTTATGATATGAACCACGAATGAGAAATTCTTAGAAATTTACTTTTTCTTGTTTTTAAATTTTTATTAGTACGTTTATATTCTATAGTTGTTTACATTCGTTGTGTGGAGTTGGTACATGTGCCTAACACATCTTAATTCTTTTTTTCAACCTCTTCCACTTCCCATCCTCCCCCCTCCTTCCATCTCTTGATCTCTTCTCATTTGAGAATGATCTATCTCCCTACTTACTATTATCTATATTTTACTTTGTTGTCTATAATTCGGGTTTCTCATGTAAGAGAAATCATGTGATATTTAAGCTTGGGTGTCTGATTTATCCACTTAACATTACAGTGTCAAGGTGCACGCACTGTCCTACAAATGACTCATTTATCTTTCTTTATAGCAGAGTACTACTCCACTGTTTAAGTACCACATTTTCTTTATCTATTCCTCTTTTGACAGATATGTTGGCGGCTTCCAAGATTTAGCTATCATAAATTGTGCTACTACAAACATGAATATCCACATATCACTATAATATGATGCCTTGAACTCTTTCAGGAAAATATACTTATAAGGGGAAAAAGCTAGGTGAAATGGAATTTCTATTTTTAATTTTTTGAGGAATCTCCATACTGATTTCCATAGTGGTTGTATTAGTTTACATTTCCACCAATGATGAAGGTTTCTTTCTTCCCTGCAACCTCGCCAGCATCTGTTTTATTTTATTTCTTGATAATGGCCATTCTTTCTGGGGTAAGATGGAATTTTAGTGTTGTTTTAATTTGTACTTTTCTAATGGCCACCAATGAAATTTAGAAACATTAATTTATATAGTCATCTTTTCAATTAAAAGAATAAAAGAATAAAAACATGGTGGCAATTTATAGGTCTAAGAGATGAAAATGCAATAACAGGTCATAAACCAAAGGTCATTCACACTATAATTTCAACTTTCCAAAACATAGTGTTAACTCAGAAGAAATGATTAAAGAAAGTCACAAACTGCCCACTGTCTTCACTAAACAATAATGAAACCCCTAAAAGCCACTTGAGTCTGTTTACTTTTATTTTATAATAATTCTGATGAGCTTACATTAAAAATCAAATTGACAAGACGAAAAACTGAGGTGAAAAATATGACAGATAATGGCAAAAAAACTTTATAATTCATCAATAAATCTGTAGACATCTCTGTTTAACAGCATATTTTATAACAAATCTTCAGTGAGAACCCTGAATTCCAGAGAAGATTTGAATATGGTTAGAAAACACTGAGAAAACTAAAAATTATATTTTGATACAAAGGGTATGCTTCAATCTTCTAATTTAACAGGCAATTCCCCATAATACAAATAAATGAGAAAGTACATTCAGAAAGGTCAGTGACTATATCACATTTTATTCTCCTAACAAAGTTATTCTTTCACTTTTTGGTTTTTTTTTTGGTACCAGGGATCGAATTGCTTGCAAGGCAGGCGGTGGCACCACTGAGCTAAATCCCTGGCCCATAGTTGTATTCTTTCTTAACTACAGTGCTTATTTCCTAATTTAAAAAAATAAATAACTACAAATAACAGCCTAGAGTCGGCAATGGTTACAAATTTGAAAGGTTCATTTGAGGGTATTCATGATTGTGTATTTTAATTACAAAGCTAATATTCTCAACTCTCATCACAGAAAAAAATATAAATTAGTAGTATGTTCATAAATTACAGTCAAGTTAACTACAAAATTTTAGAATGAAATATGTGAGTGACAGAACAAGCAGAAAGTACACCTACTTGTCCAGAGATAATATTTCCTTCTGTCCAGCCCAAAGGAAGTATGGGGGCTTAAAGACAGAAACAGAGAAGTTATACAAATGTACCCAAAATCTCAATTTCAGTACCAGGGATTAAGAGCCTAATTTTTCTTACAGAGGTCACTGCTATATTACTTGAATAAGAAAGAATAGTTCCACAGCACACTGAAGATTTCATTCACTGAAATGTCAGGCTACCCCTAAATCATTCCCTAAATGACAGTTCTATACAAATATAAATATCATACTCACAATTACAATGTTATTTCATGATACTGCTGGTGTGCAATCAAAGTAACAAACTAAAGTAATTCGATATAACCCATTTAAGTTAGAAGAACTTCTACTGAAGTTTTTCTATATTGCTAGTGGAATATGAAAACAGTACAGCTGCTTAGGTAACAATCTGGTAGTTTTTTATAAAATTAAACAAACATTTGCTTTATGACCCACAAATTCCAATTCTAGGAACTTACCTATGAGAAATGGAAATATTATGTGGCAGCTTTATTCATAACTGCCACAAACAGGAAAAGTGTGTTTTGACTGGTAAATGGTAAATATGTTGAGGTACATCCATACCTTGGAACACAGTAAAAAGAAAGTACTGTTACAAGCTATAATATGGATGGATTGCAAATGCACTCAGCAATGTAAAATTCAACCAAATTCAAGAAGCTATGTATGCTGTATCACAGGATTCAATTTACATGGTACTCTGGAAGAGCCAAAATTATAGAAGAGAAAACATACTGGTGGTTGTTAGGGGCTAGGAGTAGCAAAAAGGCTGACTACAAAGGAGTAGGTAGCATAACAGAATTTGGAGGTGGTGGTGATGAAATTGTTTTATATTTTGATTGTGGGAAGAGTGAATTTTAGTGTATGTAAATTTAAAAGTTGAACTAAAAGGAAAAACTAACATTAAAAACATGTAATTGAGATGCTCAAAAAAAGGAATATTTTTTCACTAGCCTATAAACACATTTAACCTCTCCCATTTTCTGACTAGCCAATAAATGCATTTTATTTCAATTTCTGCCTTTTTATTTCTACTTTTAAGGCTGAGTGACTAAGTCAGATGCTTACATTTATTGTTTTATTTAAATCTGGGCCAATTTACTTGTTTGAGATTTGTCTCATCAACTGTGACAATGTAAAGTAAACTGGTTTGGAATGAGTTTGGTAACTCAGGAGGCATTTAACCAAGCTTCTTCCATGTTACACTTCTCCCTAATAAAAAAGAATAATCTAGGGCTGGGGATTTAGCTCAGTGGTGCCACCACCTGCTTCGAAAGCGCAAGGTCCTGAGTTCGATCTCCGGTATCAAAAAAAAAAAAAAAAAAAAAAAGAAATAATCTATTCCTCCAACAAATACATGACCATTAGAGGCCTATTATATGCCAAACACAGTAAATATATATGGCAAAGAAGGCAAGCATAGTCTTTGACATCACACCGTTTAAACAAGCACTAATATAAAGTATATGTACTACAACAAAATTACAGTAATTTCTGAGCACACAGCAAGTGCATTTAACATTATCATGTATGTTCAAATTTTTATCTTCGATATGGAGAGGAACAACTAGGAGGTTCACATTCTCCCAAGAAGATCTACACTTTAGAGGGCTTGGTGTCTTAGTGAATTCCAAAACACAGCTGAGGGCTGGGGATTTAGCTCAGTGGTTCCACCACCTGTCCCACAAGCACAAGGTCCAGAGTTCGATTCCCAGTACCAAAAAAAAAAAAAAAACCACACCCAATATTCTGGGGATGTAGTTCAGTGGTAGAGAGTTTGCCTGTCATGCACAAGGCCCTGGGTTTGGACCCCAGCACCAGGGGGGAAAAAACCACATACAGCTGACAAAGCATGTAAAACGAGTGCTCACTATCCCAGTATCCTTCAATATTTAAGGGCGGGGGGGGGGGAAGCAAAGCGTTTGTAGACACAGTACACCATCACTCACAAGCAGAATAATAATCACTCCCCAATGACAAGTTTCTCTTAGGGAAATACTGTGCATCCCATGTAGATGTGTTTCTGTTACCTTTCCAGCAAGCAAAAACTCTTTCTGGTATAGAATATCATGATTATAAGATTTTGTTCTTGAGGAATTTTATTGGGTGAAGCGGACCAGAGGTGATAGTATAGATAGGGAATATGAACTGAAGAAAAAAAAAGCCATAGTAGGTACAAAGATTTCTGCAATGAAGTCTTGAAATCAAATTAAGGAAGTTCAAGGAAACTAAAACAGGAGTATAACCACACCCCTGCTTCTGTCAAAAAAAAGGAAGCCAAGATATGTAAAAAGAGGGCTGCCTGCAGGTGTTCTGGCATGAAGCTATTATGTGTAGACATAAAATTACATAACCCCAAGAACTAAAGAGGACACTTGAAGAATACTCAACTATGGCAAAATTACCTGAAACATTTTCCATCCTAAGCATCCTAATTATATTATCCTTCCAGGACCTTAGCAGAACCCACAGAGTCAGCGTTAATAAGTTAGTAACAGTGAAAGAATGAAAGAATGAAAGCTTTGCAATAACTATTAAAGAAACTAATGCGGATTCAAATAAATGCTTACAAGAAAAAGAAAAGCCTAAATTAATAAATTACTAGCTTCTTACTAAAATAAAACACTTATTTCAGAGAAGTGAGATGTTGAGTAGTTTCTATTTTAGGGGTACATGCAAATTACAGTTCCTTTCCCAAAGTTCTTGTAGTCAAACATGTCTTGATCAGTACGAATAAACCTCTAGTGAAGGCTGGCACAGTACAGAGAAGTTTGGGACAGCATATCGCAATTCAAACACTTGCTATTCCTGCATGTTTCAGAACAGCTTTTGTGAAAAAATTAATTGTCCCAAATATACAAAAGTAACCTCTGATTTTCAAAAGCATTTTGGATATCAGAATTATTGCTAAGTTATGGTCTTATAGAACACTACTCATTACTTATTATTATGTGCTGATTTTCTTTTTGTGGTGTCTTGGTGAACCCAAAGTAATTCTCAAAGAATTGCATAGGTTTACAAATAACATGTCCTCTTAATCTTATACAATGTTAAATCTCTCTACTACAAATCCTCTTATCAGGGCAGTTTTCAGAAATCTAACCCTGCTGGGGATTGAGCTCAGTGGCATTGTGTGTGCCGTGCAAATGCAAGGTCCTGCGTTCAATCCCTGGTACAAAAAGAAAGAAACCTAACCCTTGCAATTTGTAGAAGAACTGTCAAATCCAAACTTGCCACCAGGCAAAAGAACATCTAATGAATTGAAAATATTGAACTCATCATAAAATGGACTGCTCCCATTTTGTTTGAGGAAAAATGCTATAATTGATAAAGATGTTCCTGACCCAGGAAGCAACATCAAATGAGTCAAAAAAAGGACTTCAATTTGTCATAAATATAAAGTAAGCCTATAAACTCTATTATCATAGTGTATTTATATGTATATATTTACTGACTATACACAATATAAGCAATATACAACAACATACTACTACTGCGGTAATAAAATATTTCCACTGAGGGAAGCACAGAGGTGGGTCCTAGTCAACAATGGTATAAAAGAGAGTAAAAGGCAGAGGATTTAGCTCAGTGGTTCCAGCACCTGCTGCACAAGCTCAAGGTCCAAAGTTTGATCCCAGGTACCAAAAAAAAAAAAAGAGAGAGTAAAGAAGTGCAGTTCTACTAAATAACCATTAAGGTCCCTTCTGTCTTGATGGTCCATGAAAAAACAACTCAATCATGTTGTAAGTATTATACTTCTAGCCTAAAATGAATAGTTTTGTGTTAGAATCATTTATTGCCTTCTTATAATGTATAGTAACTTTAAAAGATATGTTTGTTTTTATCACTTATGTCTCAAGATTTCCAGAGACACCTTGATTTAATTTATTGATAAATTTCCCTTTAACAAACTTTAAAATGTTCCAACTTGGTGCTACACTTACCAAAAATTGCTATTATGCAATAAATATAATGGCCTCTTAGTATGGTAGGTATAAAGCTATAAGAAGTCATTTTTTTACCTGTCTTCTGGCTAATATTTTCTATAGATTCTTTTTGTGTCATCTTTACACCTCATGCCAAATTTTAAAAGACAGATTAAAAATGGAAGTCATTTTTTTAAAAAAGAGCTAAGAGCTAAGAGGTACATATAAAGGAAAAGGGAAATCAGTTATTTTCATTTCTGTATCAAACTATGATAGCTTTATAGAAATCCTAAAATATGTCATTGCATGGGTAAGATTCCAACATGTCCTTTTTTTTTTTTAACATCTCAACAGAAATTTGGGCTAAGAACCATTGGTACAAACAGCATTCTCTACAAATCGTTTTCTTTTCTCATCTATGAAAGCACTGGCATTCTCCACCTTACAGTCAAAAATGCAACGACTATTGTTAAAACTGTCCATTTTTCTTCTCTCCTTTACTTCTTATCATAGGAAAAAAACCTAATTTTTTATTTGAACTTTTTAAACAAGTTACTATAGTAAAATTCATTTTCATTTATTTGATATTCTCATTCTCAAATACTCAAGATTTTTTTTTCATTAGTACGTTAGCAAGGTTTGCTTCAATAATAAGCAAACATATAATACACATTCCAGGAAATCAATCTTCTATAGAATATCAGAAAATATTCAGAAGTATGATTTTAAAAAACTGATTACATTTTGATACTTTACCTTGCAGAATCTCAATTATATGAGACTGTCTAACTACATTAGACACAACATATCCTAATACCTATATTACATGAGGTATTACATGAAAAGAACTAAGTAAACAATCTACCATTTCCTTAAATGAAAGGTGTTATCACAAGATTTCACATCTTTAAATTTTCATATTTGGGGTAAGAGAAGTCATGAAGTCATACTGTTTTCTGTTCCCTGGCATAAACATACAAAAATAATATTTTATAAAAATTCACACCTATAAATATCAGGTTTTTCAAATGCAACCTACAATGGATACCTACTAGCTTCACCTACAAAATGATGCCAGGTTACTTTCGCACCCTAAATTAGAATTTTATTAAAAAGATCTGAAGCCATGTATTTGCACTCCATAAGATCAGTGGAATGCTGTGAAGTTTCTCTCTTCTCTCCATTACATTACATAATATATTTGACTGCCACTTAAAAATCCAGTTCATTGCTAGAGTAAGTATTTCACAGAAATAAAAAATAAACATGATACAAACTTGGTGTAAGACAAAATTTTCACTTCTCTTTTCACTAAAAGATATTCTGGACAGAATTTTAACTCTTAATATATCACTAATACACTGTCTAGTACACTACCTGAAGTTAAAACCAAACACATTTGAAAAACAGATAACACAATTAGTAACTTGAAAATATCCAGAAGTTCATTATTTTTACAAAGTAAATTTGTACCAAAAGGTATCATATGGCCAATATCACCTTAAATGTTTAAGGTAAATAATTTTAATAAATTCAGTCTTTAAAATAAAGAAAATTACAAAGTATCAATGCATTTGAGACATTTTATTGAAGGTGATACACAATGAAAGTAGAATTGTATGGCAAAAATCTAAGGTGGTAGAAACATTCTCCCCACCCCTAAGATTCTAATTACTTTCCACAAAATAAATTATTATTTTTGATGGGAGTAATAATGCATTGTTGAAAACCCAAATACAGAGAAGTATAAAAAGCATAAACATAATCATTTCACATCCTCCATTTATGTCATTAACATATTATGTATGTATAACCGTACATACATGTATCTATAATATATATGTATATATACATATACTCCAGTGATGGCAAACCTTTTAGAGCTTTTAATGATACCAAAAGCCCATTGTGGCACGTGTGCCATAGGTTCACTGTCACTAATAAATTCCTTTTCTTTACATACATTGAGAGTAAAAAAATGTTTAAGATGATTTTCTTAAAAACATAAGTATATAAATTGTTCTAAACACTCATTCTGCTGCTCTTTTGACTAAGCAGGCCAGGTTTGAGATTATTTAATGTGTTTCTATTGTTTTTCACTCAAGGGAAAATGAAAAATGTTTGCTTGTTTGTTTTACAGAGAGAGAAAGAGGGAAGAGAGAGAGAGCTCAAATTTTTCCAAAGCCTAATAAAACAGATATCTGTATTAAAATGGTTGGCTGACTAAGCATAGTCCCGAGCAAATCTGCAGTGTAGACAAATCCTTTTATGGCCTCCCACTTCTTGGTCCAAAAGTACAGTACACTAGTAATTAGGATAAAAGTGTTGCCATTCATGTGTGCAACTTGAGCATCTCTTTTAAACTTCCTGACTCATTTCTATTCTAAAATTCTGTGATTCTCCCATGTTTCCCTATCTCCCCACTATCTTTTTTCCTACTCTCAAAATAGGTAAAAGCCATCCTTTCCTCTCATCACACTTAGACTCCTTAATTCAAAATCTGTCTAACAAAGTGTAATATCCTCAATGCGCTTTCTCCTCTTGGTATAAGAATCAAAGTAATCTATTGAGACCAAAGCTATGGGCAAATTTTTAACAAGGAGGGAAGGGAGCAACTAGAAACAAATTTAAATACATACAAATTTTTTACCTGAAATTAGCTTTATGAGTTTAATGGGAAAAATGTATATACTCTTAGATAACTTATTTTACAGACTCAAAATTAGTCAATTAAAAAACTGGCATCATTTATCCTATAAGAGAAACCTAAAAAGTAAAGAGCAAAATAAAAGATAAAAAATGGGAAGTAGAGAGATCTTTTTCAAATGGTAAGGGGATCAAGAGATAGAGGGAGGAGAAGGAAGGGGAGGGAAAGGGGATGAAAAAAGTATTGAGATCTGTTAGGCACGTGTACCAACAGCACACAACAAATGTAATCATTATGTAATGCAAACATGTACTAATAAAAAATAACTGAAAAAGCAAGCTAGGAAAGATAATATTTTAGGAGACTCCTCTTTAATATACAACTGTTAATCAAGTTCTTAAATTAGATTAAAAAGGAAATTGTTTTGAAAATCTCCATACCGTAAGCCAGCCCTAGTAGTGCATACCTGTAATCTCAGCATTCAAGAAAGGCCAAGCCAGAGGATGGAGAGTTCATGGACAGCCTGGAATACACAAGGTCTCAAAAAAATAAAAATAAATAACAAAAATAAAACCACCACCAAAAAAGCAAAACTACCCATCCTGAACATAGAAACTAGAACAAAATAAGATACATTCACAAAGCAATCTCATACTGCAAGGTCAAGGTATGAGTCTACTGATGAGAGTGCTGCTTTATTTTTCTTGCAAAAATTTTCTAGCTTCTTAAATATTTCCAGTTTCTTAACCATGGAAAGAAATTACACAAATACCTGAAAAGCAATCTTATTACAGAATCTTTTTTAGATTGTTTGGGGCTTTTTGCTTTCAATCACTTAAGACAATCTCACCACCACCCCCGCAAAAAAAAGATCATCTCACCCTCACCTACTTAATTGTAACTGAATTTAAGCCATTCTTATGTCTTGAAAGTAGTCTGCTGGTTCTTATACAAATATGCCTTTTTGTCTTCAGAGTTAACTGAATAATACTTTATTGAATTATGTAAATACAACATCAAGTATAACTGCCATTAACAGTTTGTCAAGTACAAACACAAATGATTCTTGGGCACAATAACTAGTGGGAAAAACGTTCAAGAGCAAGGTAGAAAACAGTCTACTATCACTCAATGTAACACGGGCATTAGTCAGTTAATTCCACAGAATGAAGAGTATCATTTAATGTCATGAGTGGGTAAAGGAGAGGTCAATATAAAAGACATTCTGGGGCCATAGATTTAACTCAGTGGCACCGCGCCTGCCTCGCAAATACAAGGTCCTGAGTTTGATCCCCAGTACCAGAGGGAAAAAACAAAAAAAGACATTCTGTGATAGGCCCTTCCCAATAATCTGGTTTTTCTACCCACAAATCAACTCTCTAGTAATTCATGCATATCAGCAACTTTTGAAGTGCAGGAAAATCTTATACAGCATCATACCTTGGGACTTTATATGTATTTTCTGAAGTTTGATGAAGAACATAATAGCAGAAATATTTCTCTTTCACTCTCTGTGTGTATGTACACACATGTGTATGCGTGCATGTGTGTTGCTATCAGCTAAAGAAAGTATTTCCAGGTAACACAAAATCATCTAAATAAATAAACTAATTTGAATACAACTTCAAATATAACATTAACACTATAGACAAAGATTTAAAATTTAAGAAAAAAGTATTCCATTAAAAGTTATTTTTAAAGTGGGGATGAATTAGCCATATTTTCATTAATTGTAACTGATATATCATTCTTAAAGAAAATGACAAAAAGTTTATCTGATCCCCCAAACATAAACACTTCAAGTTCTTTGGCAAAAATTCTAAGATGTTGGGCTGGGGATTTACCTCAGTGGTTTTGCTGCCTACTGTGCAAACACAAGGACCAGAGTTCGATCCCGGGTACCAAAAAAAATTCTAAGATGATAAGCAGGGCGTAGAGGAGAACAATAAAACTGATCACTTACTATAGTCAAAAAACTGATCAGTACATACCTGCCTTAGCTTCCATAATAGGAGGGAATTCCAACATTCAGAGTTTCTAAATTCCACCCTTGAGAAAGTGACTAGAAAAAGTCTAAAACAGCTTCCAATGTGTCTCTAAAAATTATCTATCCCCACATATAACTCCTTTATTCCACATTTTCTGAGTTAGCTCGGGACTGTGCCAAAGTCACTTCACATTAATGGATCATATATACTTGATTTCTACACATTAAAAATTTCAAGTATGATTCTGTCCCATAGGTCAGGACAGAGGTAATGCTGAGACAGCTTAAAATACAAGTGCCACAGTGTCTGTACTATAGAATCTCTACAATTAGAAAAAAAGATACCCAAAAAACTTCTACTTCTGAAGAAATGACATCTTGAATAGACACACACACACATATAAACAGGATCAAATAATACCACTGTGTGCTAAGTGCTTGAGAAACAACAGAAAGATGGAAAGTTGGGGGGAGACTGGGTTTAAGACTATAAAGTAAGACAAAAGAAAAAGCTGATTCAAATACATATTGTCCTACGCCCAAGATAAGTATCTTCAACATGTTACACGCCAGAAGAATATTTCTTGCTCTCAAAAATGGGAGTCACACCATCTAATTCACAGTTGTCCTAAAATTATCATTTATAGTCTCTGTACAGAGTAGATTATAACAGATTCTGCGGTTTTGAGAAAGTTCAATGTAACACAAATTCAGTTACAATTCTGAATGCTAAGTGGGAAATAATTAGAAGAAAAAAAACTTCCTTTAAGATTCTTCATGTACTCAGAAACTGAAGTTGTGAGGGTAGTAGTTTTCTGAGCAATTCTTTGATAATGATTAAGCTAGGGGTTAAATTATTTTAGGGTCATCTGTCATTTAACATAACCAAAATCCTCACACATATTTATCTGGAACTGTGGACATGTCTCATGTTATCATTCCACTGTTACAGTGAATGCTCTTTATTAGAAAGTCTTTACATTTCACTTTATCACAACAAATCTCACCCTCAAATGTATTAACAGTAATAGAACTATCCCATGACCTTTCATTTGTTTTATTTTACATTTCAGTATTCTTTTTACTTAGTTTAATACATTGTTAGGGGAAGCCCTTTGAAAGGAAACTACCACTTATCCCATTCTGGGGGGGAAAAATATGAAGCAAAAACTACACCATAATAATGGTGTATACCCAGTACAGAGGAGATTGCAGGATGGATCAGAGGGAACACAAAGAAATTATTGGAGAGCGTCCCATTTGTTCCTGAGTCACATTTTTACAGTCTGGATTCATTTCATGTAAAACCAATTACCAGATTACCCGGCACACCCACATTCAAAAGCAAGTACAAAAATATAACAAAGCCATATTTAAACTGTTTTAGTTCATATACTTTTCTACTTTTCAGTAACATAAAAGACGGCAAGTTGACTATTTTTGATAAAATTTGTTTCCTTAAACTTGCTATTCCTGTTTGATTACCTAACGTCAGCAAAGAACATACACGTTTGGACCTTCGCACCTCAAACTGACCCATTTTTCAAGCCAAGGCATTCTGGACTTCCAAGGCCTGATCTCCACCTACTTTCACAGCTTCCTCTTCCACAAGGACCTCCTGGTACAGCATCCTTATGTCCAGCTCAACAGGTCCTGTAATATCCAACCACATGCCTGTGCTCAGAGTACTCCCTTCGACTAGAAAAGTATTGCCCTCAGATCCCATTTTGGCTATTAAAATATTTTAAGACTCAGATGGAGTGTTACCAGCTCTGTACTCATTCACAATTCCTTAGTCAAAAATTACTATCTTACACACACACACACACTTCATGCTTCCATGCATCTCTACTAAAATCCACAAGAATTTGGTGTTGCAATTATTTCTGCGCATGCCTGCTTCACCCTTCAAGGCAGCTACTGAGTCTCATTCATCTTTATATTCTGCCCACTTTTCCAATATCTCCACATGGCAAAGATAAATTACATATAGAAAAGGCACTGGTTGAAATAAATTATTTCTTCATTCCATCCCAGCACTTTACTTTTAAGGAATAAATGATTTTCATGTTTGTTAAAATAGTGTTAATGCTTACAAGCTAATAATAAAAATGTCAATAATTACATAATTTCATTAATTTTTAAGTTGACAAATGGCAGAAGAGGTCAATGAGCATGATAAATCAGTAAGAATAATCATTCCTCAAGATCCCCCCCCCAAAGTCTCATCTATATCAACATCAAAATGAACCTTTCTGTGCCCTATTCTATTAAGTACTACCTACTGCAGATTCAGAAATGCAAATTCACTTAAAGCAAAAGTTATCTATCCATTCTATTAAGAATTTATACCAAAGCCATATAATGTATTTGACACCTTTCTTCCAATTCCTATACATACAATTTTCATCTTTTGTGCAACTATTAAGGATAACATACACAAAAAATGAAGATAATTTAGCTCAGGATACAGTTGAAGCAAAATTTAGAAATAATTACAAAACACTATAAGTACATCTCTTTTTTTAAAAAAAAAAGGTGCCAATAATAATTTTTTGGTGGAAATTTTCTTGAACCAGTCTCACGTCTAATTCTGAATTATGCTTTTAATCTGCGTGATATTTTTCTTCCACCATGTAGTCATATATAAGGAAAGCCAATTTCCTTCAAAGAAACATGGTTTTAAAAACTGAATGTTTTTAATTTCAAAATATTCCATCTTACAGTTCAATTATCGCTATGATCAAATGTCACTCATAATCACAAAAACTGCAAGAATAAAAGAAATAAAAGACTTGTTTTCTTAATTTATTAAAAATTAAGTAGATTTTCTAACAAGGTTTAAAGGGGCCGCTGACTGAACAGCCTGTGTACTCATTACAACAGAGTTAAAACTAATCTGCACAGTACAGCAATAGTAGCTGTCACACACACACACACACACACACACACACACACACACAAACACACACACTCACTCACCCATTAACTTTCCTTCCTTCCCTGACACGTGAGGTGGGAAAACTGGAATGGTCGCAACACAGGCCTAACTACCCTTACCACACGAGCACACCCCTCCATCACCGCACTGCTGACAAAACCGTGGAGGCTGCAGACCGAAACACCGACTCTCGGTGCCCCTCGCCCAGCACCTGGGCTAAACAACCCGGCAGCAGCTCGTAACAGCAGCCAGCACAGTAACTGACGCCTGTGATCACAGCCCCGGTTAAGTTCCGAGGCGAACCCTCGGCCCCTCAGAACAAGCGCCGGACTGGAAGCCGAGCCCGGCGCCGCCCGGCAGCCCCGCCGCGCCGCCCAGGCCGCGCTCAGAGGGTACGGGGCACACCCTCGAGGGCCGAGGGCCGAGGGCCGAGGGCCGCGGGCCGCCCCTCCCGGGCCCCACGCGCCGCGAACAGCGGCCCCGGCCCGCCGGCCCTCCCGCCGCCCCGGCCCACGCAGCCTGCGGGAGCAGCGCGCAGACCAGCGCGGGCCGGGCCGCCGAGCCCCGCGGAGGGCGCTCACCTCAGAGGCGCGGCCCGGCGGGTCCGTCCCGCCCGTCCGTCAGTCAGTCAGTCAGCGGCGGGGCAGCGGCGCATCCCGCCCGCGGCGGCCGAGGAGGGGAGCAGTCGCGCGAGGGAGCGAACAGGCCGAGAAGGCGAGACGGGAGAGAAGCGCGCCAGCCCGAACTCAGTCTCCACTCTGCTTCCGGGGCCTTCTACCGCCGCCGCTGGCCAGAGAGTCGCCGCCGGGGCCGCTGCTGTCGCCACCGATGCAGCCGGGAATGAATGCACAGCGGCGCCTCAGTTATCCGGAGGTCAAACATCCTTCGGCCTCGAGCATCCGGATCGGCGCTGGACCCGGAAGTGAACACATGGAAAAAAATTAAAAAGGAAAGCGTCGCTCTAGCGGCAGCTGCGGCGGTGGCCCCAGCGCTGCCCGAGTCCACGAAAAGAGCCGAGCAGAGCCGAAGATTACACTAACCTGCTTGGATTGGTTGGATCGCCAATAGGAAGGGAGGCAGCGCGCTAGCTGGCTGGCACGGCCTATAAAAGCTAAGCCACGCCTCGTCCCCGCCTTCCCTCGAGCGGCTCTTGAGGTGTAAATGCAAGTATGTTTCTCTGGGTGAGTCTGTGAGTCTACGGAGAGAGCTGGAAGACAACGTTTCGGTGTGTTAAAAGAGCTACTAAAAATTCAGTAAGCACAAAGCCTTAAGGGCGCCGTTTGCCCCAAGTCAAGGTGCCCACGCTTTCTTGCTCAGGTGCACTCCAGGCACCAGGGAATCTTAGGGCCGGGTCTGGAAGGATGACATCACTAGTTGACATTTTCTCCTACTTTTTTCTGACCACTGTGCTATATCAGGGTTTCAAGTGCTTAGAAAAACTAATTGTAGCACCGATTTGCATCTCGTTTGCTGTCTGTGAAGAACGCCAGTGTGAGGTGAGGTAATCTATATAGTGTAGTAGGTAGTATCCCAATTTTTCGAATGAACCTCCTGGAATTTTAAGAGGCTAAACATGGCTCAAGTCATTAAGTTATAGAGTTTAATGGAATTGATATTTTCTGACTCCACTCAGCCCACATAGAAAGCAGAATATTACATTCCTTCCTCCTCTAGTTGATAACTGGGATGGAGAAATGTCATTTTGGAAGACCTCTGTGAAAACTGATGCGCCATGAAGGCATTATAGAGGACTCTAAAGGTATAATTATTTAAATTGTTATTCTTATACCTGAAGTTCTTTCAAAAGTTAGACATTATGGTGTGCACCAAGAAAATTTCATGCCTAGCACTGCTTAAAGATACTCATTTTTGTATAATTTTTATTTTGTTGATACACTCACTGTTAAAAGAGATTTGAGTGTTTGATATATTTTTCCTTACTTCTCTTAAAAAGCTCCAGTGAAAAAAATGCATTTTAAAATAATTAAGGATTGATTTTATATTTCCTCCCTGCCTTGCCAGGATTGTGTGTTCCCTTCAGAGGGGAAGTTAGTAAGGAAAGATGCTCTTTCTCTTTGTATTTTGTAGTATGACTGAATCTTTTACCACTCTCCTCATGCTGTTTCCCAAAGGAGAAGGTCAAGAAGTGACTGGTTTACCAGCTTTGGAAGAGTAATGGTAAAAAGCAGCTAAGGGGTCTGGGGATATTGCTCAATGTTAGAGCAACTGTGCCTAATCAGATGACATCCCTCAGAGTCTGTGATCTGTCCCAGGACCCAGTACCATCCAGGACACAAAATTAAGCCAGTCTCGCTAAATGGAGAAGAAACGTCTGCAATATAGAAAACACTTTCATAAAATTCACGAACGTTTAAATATTGTCCTCAATTCCCACCAAAGCATTTTGTACTCACTACCCCCAAAAAAAGAAGAAGAAAATAGGGCCAGGGATTTATTTAGTTCGGTGGTTCTGCCACCTGCCTTGCAAGCACAAGGTCCCAAATTCGATCCCCGGTACAAAAAAAAAAAAAAAAAAATACACTTTAAGTAAAGGATACCAACACTTCTAAGTTTTGGTAAACATTAAAGAAATATAAAAATATGATAAAATCATTTTAAAATTAGAAATGAATATGTTTATATTTTTAACATTTTAATAAAGATTTTGATTAAAATTTGTCCTAGAAACTCCTATAGATAAAAATTGGCAAGTAACATAGGTAGGAAGCAATGAAATTTTCAGTCATTCTATTGTAAGAAAAAAATAGATCATGTGAAAACAGTTTATATGAATGAAGGAAACGCCAAGCTATAGGCATTTTGACTAAAACTCGTTGTTTTATAGCACAATGTCTCAACATAAGCAGACAGTTCAGATTTTTTCCATATGCTGTATCATAAATACAGTTCATTCGTTGTGTTACCCCATTTCCTAGCATTGTTAGTCTTCGAGTGTTTATATTCTATTATTTTTCGCAGTGCCAGTTTAGCATAAATCTTACGTGTTCATGCAGTCACAGTCTTTTATAACATACTGGATGTTTGCATTGGATAAATTTCTCTTTTGACAAAAGCTTTCTCTTCATGTTCTACAAATGTTTTGCTTTGTTTGGGAAACAATGGTATGTAGATTTTATGAAAAGTAAAAATAGCCATTTCCCCTTCTCAGTAATCAATGAGACTTTAAGTGAGAGGAAGAAGGAAATGGGCAGTTTGATTAGGATTTTAAGCAGAAAATTATTAGATATTTGCTAAAACTTTTCAAAATAAGAACAGATGAAGCATTCATTTTCTTCTTCCACATACTTTTAACTGTAATAGTAATTGTGACAGGGTGATTTACTGGTTGACATAGGTTAAGGCCTGTGGCATTCTATACTTTTTTCTTTTTCAATATTATCTATCTATAATATTTTAATATTCCATCCCAACACTATCTATCTGTAATATCTATTTTAATGTTATTATTATTTCAATATTAAATAATTAAGAAAAGGTAAATGGCCAAGTAGAAGGAGGAAGGATACAAAATAAGACATTATAAAAGTAGCCAGAAGCCATGAGCAGAGAAACACGTTTTACTAACTTCTTCCCCAATGAAGCCTGCAGTCACTGGGAGAGACAGGAAGGATTCTGGAAGAAAGCTAATCACATTCAGCAGGTTTTTGGAAAGCTATCTCTTAGCAAACTTACTTTCAGATTTTTATGTGAGTCCAGGTAGAAAGAGTCAAGACACTGGTTTGTACCATCGTTAGGAGGATGCTTGTAAGTATTTTGTGAGTAGAAAAATGAATGTACAAGAATCACAAAACTTTCCTCAGCCTCTGTTATAGTTTGTAATAATGATCTCTAGAAATGCTAAGTAAATCCCACTTTTAGGACTTCTTTTTTTTTTCCCCCATTAAGTTTATTGGTACATTTTAGTTATAAAATACAGTTACATTCATCATTGGGATCTTATACCATTGCATGACTCTCTTGGTTCTTATTTTTTTTCCCCTTCCCTT